GAGACGGGTAAGCTAAGAACTGAATGACAATTTTATTTATTTTTAAAGATTTATTTGAGAAAGAGAGCGCGTGCGCTCGGAGCACGGGGGGTGGGGGCTGGGAGTGGGGGGGCATGGAGGGCAGAGGAAGAGGGGAAGTCAACTCCCCGCAGAGCCCAAAGCACGGCTAGATCTCATGATCCTGAGATCATGACCTGGGCGGAAACCAAGAGTTCGATGCTCAACTGACTCAGTCACCCAGGCACCCCCTGAATGAAGTAACCTAGCTTACTTCAACCTACAAGCCAGGAAAATTTTCTCAATGGAATTCTAAATAACTAGCAGTGGGATCAACCATATACTGATGTGTTGGTTCTATAGGCACCCTCCTGCTTCACTGTATCTGGACCACCATTCTTAAGTTGTCCGAAGTCTTAAACTACTCTGTGACACTTGTGATGTATTGGGGATAAGTGCAGAAAGAGTAGAGTTCTCAACCTATAGGAGCTGCCTGAGTAGGCTAAGGATGGAGTACCATGCACTCTGGGTTAGTACCTGCAAATACAACTGGGCTGAGCAGAGCCAACCACCTCTATACAACAGAGAGTGGCAAGAGAAAGAGGACACACCTAACCTGTTGCTGCAAGTGGTAGCAGTCTCATGGCAATCTTGGGAGATTTTCATGGGCTGGCCTGTGTAACAACTACATCTAGATAGTATGTACCAATTCTTCAATAAACGCATATAATACCTCACCCACAGAGCTAAGATTCCAGGGAAGCAGATACTTTCTTATTTATCTTTTTCTTTATTATTTTGGTCCTATATATGCAATTATTTTCTTCCAATTTGTGGCTTGTTGGGTCTATGTTTTCTCCATAAAGTGCCATATAGCATACTAGGCATGATGCACACAACGCAAAAACAAGACAGAAGTGTTCCTTGCCCTCATGTAGCTTATATTCTAGAGCTTGTTCTAGCAAGGCGATGAAGATAGGAGATACACAATAGAAAAGTAAAGTAAATACATATAATTGTTCATCATTGGAAACAAATGAAATGGGGTGGGCATGCTTTACACAGAAACTTTAGGAAAGACCTCTTTGAGGAGATAACATATAAACTAAGACCTGAATGATGAGGAGCCAGTCATGCTAGGGGTGGAAACAAGCAAATACCAAATTAAAGGCAGCTCTGTTTGGGAAACTGGCAGGACTGCATGGACAGAACATACTGAAAAGAAAACAAAGGATATAAAATATTACGCTAGAAAGTCAGGCAGAAGCCAGATTGCAAAGGGCTTTGGAAGGAATGTTAAGGAGTTTGAGTTTTATTCTAAGTACTACAGGAAGCCACTAAAGAATTTAATGTAGCATAAGAACTGATCATTTTTTCACTTTAACTGGTGAAAGAGATAAAGGTTGAGGTCTACTATGGACTTAGAATTGCCAAAACTTACATTTACTAGCACTGCTCAACTTTTCATTTCCAAAAATACACATCAAATTGCCTTTAACCTTAGGGACTTGTGACTTTTTCAATGGGTGTATTTTGTAAGGTTTAAAGTAATTTAAGATAAAGAAATGCCACGCTCTGAACAAGATACCTAAAATTTACAACATAAGGCAAGTATTCAAATTACCACATAAATTTTAAGGTTAAGAAAAACATTCAGATCTAAATAGCCATCAACCTTATAAAGAACAAATATAATTGACAGTTTATCATTTACAATTATTAACGATTATTCTCCACTTTAAAAGAGGATTACCAGTATTTGAAATCTTTTCCAAGCAGGCAGTGCCTGCATTTCCTGGGGCAACCAACACATGTTTGACATGATTAGACTGTGCAAGTTTCCAGGCCAGTGTGTGTTCCCTTCCTCCACTGCCAATTACAAGTACTTGGGCTGCCATTGCTCTGTCTGCAAAGCAGGAATTCAAAAGGAAAATAAAAGCTGCAGAAAGAAAGCCACAGTTGTTATTTCAGAATGCACATACTTTAGAAATCACAATTTCTAAATATTTAAATATAAATATTCCAAAAATTCATTTGTGAAAAATTAGGACTCATAATCTGAGACGACTATACTTCATAAGGATTAGGGAGGTAGGCATGTATGTAATCTCTACACCCAGTGTGGGTCCTGAACTCACGACCCTGAGATCAAGAGTCACATCTCTACCAACAGAGCCAGACAGGGGCCCCAAGGAAGGTATTTTAAAAATGAGGCAGACCTGCCTAGAGCTAGGTTAAGGAATGAGATGGTGACTTAACCTGATTTGCGGGGAAAAAAAAATCTCCTATGAAAAATCATCCTTCTTTAGGCTTCACTTTTCCACTTTTAAAAGATTTATAATCATCAAGCCTCAGTTAAACATGAATCCTAATATTGCAAATTTAGACCCCAAATTTAAAGTACCTGCTTTTAAGCCTTGTGATGCTATAAATAACAGACTTTAACATTTTAAGTTGAAAGAAATATTTAAGACTGGGACCTGTAAAGGACCAGATAGTAAATATTTTCACCTTTGAGAGTCATACAATCTCTACAGTAACAAGTCAACTCTGCTGCTGTGTCATAAAAGCAGCAATAGACAATACAGAAATGGATTAACATGGCAACGTCCAGTAAAACCTTACATAAATAGGCAGTGGGTGGTAGGTCATAGTTTGCCTATGTTCTGCTCTAAGCGATAAGAAGCTACCAGAAGCTTATAAAAAATATGCATGAGTGTGTTTCAATAAAACTTTATTTATGGACACTGTAATTTGAATATCTTATAATTTTCACTTGTTATAAAAATATCATTCTTCCTTTTTTCCAACCATTTAACAATGCAAAAATTGTTATTTGGTGCAGTGTACAAAAATAGGTGGCAGGGGGCCATAGTTTGCTGACTCCTGATTTAAGAAGTCAGTGTAATATGTTAGAAAGTTGGTAGAAAAGGCAAAATCAAACTTGAACATGTCTCACTTTGGCTCTGGCATTTGATTCTTAGCAGAATGGATGCAACACTTAACTCAAGTGAGCAGTGTGACCTTGGCTAAGCTCTTAAAATCTCTAATTCAATTTCTTTACATCTTAAAAGATGGAAATAGGAGAACTTGCCTTAAGAGGCTACCTAAGGGTTAACTGAAATGACATTTTTTGGAAATGACATTTATAAACAGCTAATATAATTTCTGACACTAAGCAGTAAATGTTTTTATATTTTGTTACTTTTACATAAATTCATACATTAGGAACAGGAAGAAGTACTAACAGGAATGAAAAGCCAAAGGAATACTTTGTCACACTAATTTACTAATCTCTGCAAGGCATTTCATCATGTAGAAGGCAAACTGAAAACAGAAAACTGAAATCAGTAACTTCTTGTGTGATGCTAGGATTATACTTAAATCTAAGCTGATAATACAAAAAACAATTTTTGAGCATTTACTTTGTGCCAGATGCTATTCTAAATACTTTTCACGAATTACTTCACTTAATCTTAAGAATTTTGTGAGGCAGATACTATAACCACCTCATTTTACAGAGAAGAAACTGAGGTCCAATCAGGTTAAATAACTTGCTCTAGGTAGGTCACATATCTAAGAGGAAGTAAAGCCTGGATTCCAATGTGTGCAATTGTGCTTCAGATACTCTTAACAAATGAGATTATGATCACTGAAAACTTGAAGAAAAAAAAATTTGCTAACCTATTGTCTCAGAGAGGCAAAAACTATTTTAACGGAAAAGACTTGCCATGTGTATTGAAATATCTGAAATAAGCAGACTTATTTTCTGAAATCTAGGGAAAAAATACACTTAATTTGAATAGAAGAGGCACTGAAGGGAAACTGTCCTAGTTACTACCGTGGATCACAGAAATAGCGTTAGCCCTCAGTCTGAAGAAATCCACACCAGGAGTGGTTAGGAGGCCTGGCCTCCAAAGTGCTTTGGTTTGGATTGAGACTGTCCCTTACTAGCTGGGATACTCTGAGGAACATAACCTTCGTGGGCCTCAGTCATCTAAATGCGTAACTAAAAACGAGAATAAGAGGCAGGTAAAGCCACTGCAAAGGACTTGGTGAATAATATAAAGCAGAAACCAATTACAAAAGTGGACTAAGGCTACAGACTGAGTGCATAAAGAGAAAATATGCAATTCAGGCTTAGGACCTAAAAAAGGCACAAAGATACAAAAAGGCCCGACATCTTATAAGGCAGGGAAAGTGGAAGAGCCAATGTAAACCTCAGTTAAAAGAAGTGAAAAGCACATGGCCAACCCCCACCCACGGCATTTAAAAACAAGACGAGAATTCCTACAGCCAAACCAGTTGCTACAGTTTCATCCAATTCCTGATATTAAACCCCCAAATCAAAGCATAAACGTACTTTACTTAAAACCGGAGAGGGCTTCTGCACCTGCACAGGGCGATTCGGACGCTCGCACTTGGCACGTTCGTCGGCGCGCTCGCAGCCCGCGCGCCCGTCGCACGCCGGAAGTCGGCCCAGCGCAATCCGGCGCGCGCCTCTCCCCGCCCGCCCCGCCCCGCCCCACGGCCGGCTGCGCCACCCCATTGGTCGACGCGCGGCCCGTGGTGTCCGCCGCGAGGTAATCAAGTGTGATTGCCTTTGGCTCTTGTGCTCGGCCTCCGCTTACTCCACAGTAAAGCTACTAGGACCTTGGGTGTTTATCACTATAATATTAGGGGTCACGTAACGTCTCTATTCCTCCTCAGGAGCCTTTAGAGCTCTGTGAAAGGGGAGGGCCAAAATGCTAAACCCACGATTAGCTAATTGTGTGTTGGTAACGAGTCAGAGCTGACCAGCTACTGCGGAAAGTCTCCGACCCGCTTGGTGTCCCGACGAGACTAGAATGCGCAGGCTTTGAACGGCACGCTGCCTAAGACCTCTGGCCTAGTGCTTAAAAAAAGGGTGGGGGGAAGCGATTATGGGGTGCCATGGGGAAAAGATGGGGGTAAAAACGTGTTCTTATTCACATCACTGTGGAGGCGGGCGCTGATGAATGCTTTCCAGGATGCATCTCCCTGCCAAGACACAACTTGGCGCCACCCAGAAACGGCGGAGGCCCCGTATCAAACCACGTAGCCCTTCTTGCTTCCTTTTGTTATGCTATGTAATCTTGAGCATTTAGTAAGCCTCTTAAGGCTCCCCAAACACTGTTGGGAGACTGACAACTTAAGCTGACACAGTCGTCTCAGAAGAGACTTCTGTAATGGCGCCTGCGTCAGTCACTAACATGGCGGACACAGTCGTGCGCGGCGCAAACGTCAGCACCTCTACCCCAGCCGCTCAGAAACAGCGGAGGAGAACTGGGCCGTGCTCAGTGATTGGCCCAGCGGCGGAGCGTGCCGGTCTGGACGCTCCCACAGAAGCCAATCAGGACGCCGAGAGACGGAATTGGCCGCTGCGCCTCCTCCCGAGGCATGCTGGGAGCCTGGAGGACTAGCGAGGAGGAGTTGAGAGAACGGAGCGGACGCCATGGCGACCAACATCGAGCAGATTTTTAGGTCTTTCGTGGTCAGTAAATTCCGGGAAATTCAACAGGAGCTTTCCAGGTAAACGCTTCCCAGACTCTTCTGCTCCCAAGGGACCGATAGGGCCCCGTGTAGCTCTCCCCAGCACCTTTCTAGAGAGACGCCGTCGTTCCTCTCCTTAGGCCCCGCTACAGCCCCGCCTGGGCCTGGGATCCATTTTCCGGGCCCTCCCCCCTCCCCCCATCCGCTCCCTCCCTTTCCAGCGAGGAACTTCGCTTTTTCCGAGGTAACCCCAGACTCTCTCTTTTAGAACCGAGTTAAGATGCTTACTCTTCTTTCCTGTTTGGTTATCTCTTCCCTTTTAGCTATTTGTAGGCCTGGTTGTGCACCAGAGACGGGCCTAGTTCCTTCCTCAGCTCCTCCGCCGCCGCCGCCGCGTTTCCCCTCCCCCCTCTCCGCCTCCGCGGATTTCGCCGGCCGGTGCCTATGACCGGAAAGGGTCTCTAACGGCCGTTTCTTGAGTAATCTTAAATCCGCTTTATTATTAAATGCTTCGGACCATTTGGGGGGTCGGGATCCTTTAATTAGATTATTTGGGCCCTGGTGTTTTGTGGCTTCCACCAGGCAGCATTCTAATGGATTAGAAATTGAAGTTAAAGCTGCTAACAAATTAATGTTAGGTACTTTGACGAAATGTTTGAGGTGAGGATGGAAGGGGACTTTGAATCACTAGTAATTTTTCAGTTTGTCAAGTAGATAGTAGGCTTTGTGTTTAGGTCTTTTTTTTTTTTTTTGCTATTCCCGCCCCAATTGACATGTATGACCAACACGCTACTTTTGCCGTTGCTCTTAGACTTTATGTAGTTTACCCTTCCTTGGTTCCACAAAATTTGAACAGGAAGAGATTTCCAAAGAGCTGTTTACCGAGAAAGGAAAATGGTGTTGGTCTCGTTGTTTCGTGGTTGTCTTTGAGTATTTTTGCTTTATGTAATGTAAATATTTTTTCCGGGTTCAGATGTTTTTGCTAATTATATTTTAAAAGTTGAGAGTAAGAGCGATACGTGAATTCGAAAACGCAATTGTAAATTAAGCGCTGAAATTGACAGCGTTATTGGGGCAACGGTATATAATATCGCCAAAATTACTACTTTTGCAGGATATACTTAAGTAGGAAATACATCCGCTCACTCATTTCAAGGCTGTTTAAAATTTTGTTCTATGTTAGTGATTTTAGATGATGAGAAAAGTCCAGAGGTGAAGGAATATGATTTTTCTGCAACCTTTGATAGTTTCAAGCAATTATTGTTTATTGTAATGTCTTTTATACCTTTAGAAATCAGTTTTTGTATTTGAAAAACGTGTTTTATTGTAACAATTTTAGAAAAAATAAACGAGAAAGTTGAAAAGCCACCACATAATGTTTTTTATGTTCTTTCATTTTTTTCCTTGTGTGTACAGATGCACATACATATTTTGTGAAGTGTGATCTTGTTTTGTGTTGTTTTTTCACCCGATCATGAACAAGCTTGTCTTTTTCACATTCTCGGTTGTCTTTTAGGACTTTTTTTAATGGCTTCATAGATTTCTGTTGTAGGAATGTATTGTTGGATATTTAGGTGGTTTGAAATTTTCATCCCTTTTCAGTAACATAAATATCTTATAGCTGTAAGATGATTATTTTAAGAGGTTTTAAAGTTGTGCTTTTCTGAGTTTTAACATGCCCTGATAATGTGATCGTGTATGTGTAAGTGCTTAGGAAGAGTGTAAAAGAGCTCTTTTAAAAAAGAATATTAGATAAACTTATTAGAAGAATATTTAGTTTGTCAACTAATACGTAATACATTATTGGTCTAAAAACAAAATTTTGGCTTATTTGTCATCTCAGTGAGCTATATTTGCCACATTTTCCCATCTGTTTTTACATATATCAGTTTGGGTAAGGAGGCTGATGTTTAAATAGTTAAGATAGCTATTACATACATGTGGTGGTTAAGAGTAGGAGCTCTGGTTTTGAATACCAGCTTCACCTCATTAATAGTTACGTGAACTTTAGTTGGGTTTTTTTCTGTGTCATTTTCCTCATTTATAAGATTAGAATGATATTGCTAATCACAGAGTTGTTAGGATTGAATGAGTTAAGAAATGTAAACCCAATGACTCTAGTAGTAAATGTTAATTATTATTATGTGACTCGTGTTAGAAAATCAAGTGTTCCCAAATAACAGTTAACTACTGAAATTTTTTTTTTTTATTTTTGACCATTGAGATTTTTATCAGGTAGTGGATCATAATTATTTGATGTGTTTTGTTAGCTAATTTTAATTAAATTCAACGTGTTGAAATTATTTTTCAAAACAATTTTATTTACTTACACAAAAATAGTAAAAATGACTAGGTAAATGACATGCCTCTCACGTCAAGATATCTCATCCTGTTAATTGAAAACACATTAAACCATCTATGTTAATTTACTGTTATTGTAAATGTCATTTGTTTTCCATGAGTTTTTTTGAACAGAAAATAACAGGATTCTTGATCAGTGGGTAAAAATTGTATAAATGTGTTTTTCTTTTTAAACTTTATGGTATTTCAGTAACTTTGATCAGTCTAAACCTTATCAGAGGCTGCAATTTACCCTTTTTACTCAATGTGTCATTGGTAACCGTTCCTTGATACTGTTGATGTTGTGATCCATGCACAGGTGTGGTTTTATTGTGGTTGTAGTTTCTATCGTAATGTTAGAATGGTATATTCTACCATGTATGTTAGATGATATATCTTTTCTTTGGATCTGTGATTGTGATCTTTATAGTTTTTCTCCCCTGAGGTAAATATGCAAGTAACCCACATCTAAATCAGTTTAAATTTCTGGGAATATTTTACTATTTTTTTAAAAAGCTTAGAAAGCAGTTATAAGGATTTTTTTCTTTCATAGTTATGAAAATTAAGTGCTTGTGTAAAAGTGAAAATGTACCAACTTTAAGTAGATAGGGTGAAGGAAGCACTGTTGAGTATCATCTGAAAGAAATACAAAATGGTGAAATGTATGAACAATATAAGATTAATCTCTTGAGTTATAAATGTTATATGGTGTGGTAAAAGTATTAATGAATTTTGATAACTTTTCTTGTCAAGTGGAAGGAGTGAAGGCCAGCTCAATGGTGAAACAAATACACCTAATGAAGGAAACCAGGCAGGTGATGCAGCTGCCTCTGCCAGGAGCCTCCCAAATGAAGAAATAGTTCAGAAGATAGAGGAAGTACTTTCTGGGGTCTTAGATACAGAACTACGATATAAGCCAGGTAAGCTGGAAATAATCAGCTGTCTCAAAAACTTCAAGATTTTTAAATAGTAACAGTATTATTTTTTTACTATGGGATATTTAAAAATGTTCACTAGTTCTGAAACTCAGTAAGTTTGAGTTTATGTATTGAAGACTTTGTAAAGTCTTCTCTGAAAATACAGTTGTACCTGAAACATGAGCATTGATACTTGATTGCTTTGTTGGTGGATTATAACTTTATTTTACTCAGTTTTGTAGTGACTCTCTACCAGGATTTTGAATGTGGGTTTTCATGGTACAATTGTGTAAATGTCTGTTTTGGAAGATACAGGAGCCTGGACCAAATTTGTAACGATTTTAAAACCCTGGGAGGTTTTATTTTAAAGCCCAAGCTCAGAGATTGCTTTGTTTTTGCATCTATTCCTCTTAAAAGTGCAGTGAATGGAGAGAAATCATTGCTTTGATATTTAGTGTTTTGGGAATTAATTAATGCTTAGAAATGAAAGATTTATGATCAACCACAAAAATAACTGTCTTCAGTTTTGGAAATGGGGTGGTATGGCTTTTCATTTTTTGTATTATTTTTTATCTAGGATATGGTAAAAAAAAACAGCATAGATTTCAGCTATATTTAGATTCATGGCTGTAGCAGCTTTTTTTTGAATTATAGCTTAGCTAACTAGCATTAGGTGCATAATAAAAGAGAGAAAATAGTTTTGCTTTGGAGTGGATCTTGTCATGTATTAATTCATTTTTCCCATAATTTTAGTGGCCTGGATTTCTGATCAGCTTTCCTGGGATCACTAAAATTTATCTATTTTGATACTGGTATTATAGTAAGTTAGTCTAGTTGTAAAGTCGAAAAGCTATTTTTTTTTCAGATATGCGTTGTTCTTAAGTTAAATATAAAGGGGTATAAGAATTTCTTTCCTGGGGCGCCTGAGTGGCTTAGTTGGTTAAGCGACTGCCTTCGGCTCAGGTCATGATCCTGGAGTCCCGGGATCAAGTCCCACATCGGGCTCCCTGCTCAGCAGGGAGTCTGCTTCTCCCTCTGACCCTCTTCCCTCTCGTGCTCTCTCATTCTCTCTCTCTCAAGTAAATAAATAAAATCTTAAAAAAAAAGAATTTCCTGAAGTGACGTATTTTTTAAGTGGAAACGTTAAGATTATTTTAGTAATTTTAGAAGAGTGTTGAAGGAAAAGGTATTTTTATTAGAATGTAACATGGGTGTGATGAGATAAAATTCAAGATTCGTGTTGATGCTTTACATTAGTCGTTCAGCCCTTTGTGTACTATATAAAAGCAATCACTAGCGTTTGCTGAGGGCTTAGTACGTGCCAGGCATTGTTCAGTGTACTTTGTGTGTCTTTAACTCACTTTGTCCTCTAACTCTAGGAGACAGAGTGTCAGTAATTTCACCAAGTCCATTCCCCTAGTGAGTGGTAATTGATTCAGGATCCAGAAGCAGACCTGTCTGTTCCAGAGCCAGTGTTACTTCCTGTATAAATAAGGTTTATTAAATAGTCGTAAAATGATTTAATGTGTATATTTTTATAGGAATTTTAACAGTTAGTAATGGGAAATTTTCCTCTGTAAGTGTAGTTTGAAAGTAGTTTGCTGTAATTTGAGAGCTGGAGAAAACAGTTGTAAATAAGTTTAGTAAAACACATTTTAATGTGACTTTCAAGTTTCTGTGATAAACTGAGAACTTGTTTTTAACCCAGACTTTAGTTGTAGAAAGAAATACGTGAAAAGTTTCAGTCTTTAGATAATTGGTTTGTAGAAAATAGTTTATTTGGTAACTTTATTTAACTTAACAAGAAACATTACACTGTGGTGTCTTAACATGGAATGTAAATTTTGTTTATGTGATTTATTATCTAAGTTTACTTGGGCGAATGCTTGACAAAATTAATTTTCTTTAATTTTAGAACTGAAGGAGGCTTCCAGAAAAAGTAGATGTGTATCTGTACAAACAGATCCTACTGATGAAATTCCCACCAAAAAGTCAAAGAAGCATAAAAAGCACAAAAATAAAAAGAAGAAAAAGAAGAAAGAAAAGGAAAAAAAGTATAAAAGACAACCAGAAGAATCTGAATCAAAGGCAAAATCACATCATGATGGGAACATAGATTTAGAATCGGATTCCTTTTTGAAGTTTGATTCTGAACCTTCAACGATGGCACTGGAGCATCCTGTAAGAGCATTTGGCCTTTTTGAGACCAGTGAATCTCCTGAGGTTGTGTTAGAACCTCCTGTGGTATCAATGGAGATATCAGAGCCACACACTTTAGAAACTCTGAAGCCAGCTACAAAAACTGCAGAACTGTCCATTGCATCAACATCAGTAATTTCAGTGCAGTCAGAGCAGTCTGTGGCAGTCATGCTGGAACCATCCATGACAAAGATTCTGGATTCCTTTACAACGGCACCAGTGCCTACTACATCAGTAGTGTTAAAGTCACCTGAGCCAGTTGTAACAATGTCAACGGAGTATCAGATGAAGCCTGTGGTGAAATCTTTGGAGACCACACCTCCAGAGCAATCAAAGATCATGCTAGAATCTCCAGTAGCAAAAGGGCTAGAGCCATCAGAAACCCTTGTGGTATCATCCGAGATACCTACTGAGGTACACCCTGAGCCAAGCACATCAACAACAATGGATTTTCCAGAGTCATCTGCAACTGAAGGGTTCAGATTGCCAGAGCAGCCTGTAGAAGTACCATCGGAGATTGCAGATTCATCCATGACAAGACCACAGGAGTTGCTGGAGCTGCCTAAGACCACAGCGTTGGAGCTGCCGGAGTCGTCGGTGGCCTCAGTGATGGAGTTGCCGGGGCCACCTGCGACCTCCAAGCTGGAGTTGCAGGGGCCCCCTGTGACTCCAGTGCTGGAGTTACCTGGGCCCTCTGCTACCCCATTGCCAGAGCTGCCAGGCCCCCTTTCTACCCCAGTGCCTGAGTTGCTAGGGCCCCCTGCGACGGCAGTGCCTGAGTTGCCGGGGCCCTCTGCGACATCAGTGCCACAGTTGTCGCAGGAATTGCCAGGGCTTCCAGCACCATCCGTGGGGTTGGAGCCACCACAGGAGGTACCAGAGCCACCTGTGATGGCACAGGAGTTGCCAGGGCTGCCTGCGGTGACAGCAGCAGTAGAGTTGCCAGGGCAGCCTGCGGTAACAGTAGCAATGGAGTTGACCGAACAACCTGTGACGACATCAGAGTTGGAGCAGCCTATGGGGATGACAACGGTGGAACATCCTGGGCAGCCTGAGGTGACAACGGCAACCGGGTTGCTGGGGCAGCCTGAGGCAGCGATGGTGCTGGAGTTGCCAGGACAGCCAGTGGCAACGACAGCGCTGGAGTTGCCGGGGCAGCCTTCGGTGACTGGGGTGCCAGAGTTGCCAGGGCTGCCTTCGGCAACTAGGGCACTGGAGTTGTCAGGGCAGCCTGTGGCAACTGGGGCACTGGAGTTGCCTGGGCAGCTCATGGCAACTGGGGCACTGGAGTTCTCGGGGCAGTCTGGGGCAGCTGGAGCACTGGAGCTTTTGGGGCAGCCTCTGGCAACAGGGGTGCTGGAGTTGCCAGGGCAGCCTGGGGCACCAGAGTTGCCTGGGCAGCCTGTGGCAACTGTGGCGCTGGAGATCTCTGTTCAGTCTGTGGTGACAACGGAGCTGTCAACGATGACCGTGTCGCAGTCCCTGGAGGTGCCCTCGACGACAGCGCTGGAATCCTATAATACGGTAGCACAGGAGCTGCCTACTACATTAGTGGGGGAGACTTCTGTAACAGTAGGAGTGGATCCCTTGATGGCCCAGGAATCCCATATGTTAGCTTCTAACACCATGGAGACCCATATGTTAGCGTCCAACACCATGGACTCCCAAATGCTAGCGTCCAACACCATGGATTCCCAGATGCTAGCGTCCAACACCATGGATTCCCAGATGTTAGCTTCTAGCACCATGGACTCCCAGATGTTAGCAACTAGCTCCATGGACTCCCAGATGTTAGCAACCAGCTCCATGGACTCCCAGATGTTAGCAACCAGCTCCATGGACTCTCAGATGTTAGCAACCAGCTCCATGGACTCCCAGATGTTAGCAACCAGTTCCATGGACTCTCAGATGTTAGCAACCAGTTCCATGGACTCTCAGATGTTAGCAACCAGCTCCATGGACTCCCAGATGTTAGCAACCAGCACCATGGATTCCCAGATGTTAGCAACCAGCACCATGGATTCCCAGATGTTAGCTACTAGCTCTATGGATTCTCAGATGTTAGCATCAGGCACTATGGACTCTCAGATGTTAGCCTCCGGCACCATGGATGCTCAGATGTTGGCATCTGGTACCATGGATGCCCAGATGTTAGCATCTAGTACCCAAGATTCTGCTATGTTGGGTTCAAAATCTCCTGATCCCTACAGGTTAGCTCAGGATCCTTACAGGTTAGCTCAGGATCCCTATAGGTTAGGTCATGACCCTTACAGGTTAGGTCATGATGCCTACAGGTTAGGGCAAGACCCCTATAGATTAGGCCATGATCCCTACAGACTAACTCCTGATCCCTATAGGATGTCACCTAGACCCTATAGGATAGCACCCAGGTCTTACAGAATAGCCCCCAGGCCATACAGGTTAGCACCAAGACCCCTGATGTTAGCATCTAGACGTTCTATGATGATGTCCTATGCTGCAGAACGTTCCATGATGTCATCTTATGAACGCTCTATGATGTCCTATGAGCGGTCTATGATGTCCCCTATGGCTGAGCGCTCTATGATGTCAGCCTATGAGCGCTCTATGATGTCAGCCTATGAGCGCTCTATGATGTCCCCTATGGCTGAGCGCTCTATGATGTCAGCTTATGAACGCTCTATGATGTCAGCTTACGAGCGCTCCATGATGTCCCCAATGGCTGACCGATCTATGATGTCCATGGGTGCCGACCGGTCTATGATGTCGTCCTACTCTGCTGCTGACCGGTCTATGATGTCATCGTACTCTGCAGCTGACCGATCTATGATGTCATCTTACACTGCTGATCGTTCAATGATGTCTATGGCAGCTGATTCTTACACCGATTCATATACTGATACATATACGGAGGCATATATGGTGCCACCTTTGCCTCCTGAAGAGCCTCCAACAATGCCACCATTGCCACCTGAGGAGCCACCAATGACACCACCATTGCCTCCTGAGGAACCACCAGAGGGTCCAGCATTACCTAGTGAGCAGTCAGCATTAACAGCTGAAAACACTTGGCCTACTGAGGTGCCAGCATTACCTCCTGAAGAGTCTGTGTCGCTCTCTGATCCTTCTGTGAGTCAAAATGAGATTTCGGAGCCTTCGGCATTGTCTGCTAATTATTCGGTGTCAACATCAGATCCTTCGGTGTTAGCATCAGAGGCTGCTGTGACTGTTCCAGAACCACCGCTAGAGCCAGAGTCTTCGGTTACAACAACACCTGTAGAGTCTGCTGTAGTAGCAGAAGAACATCAAGTTGTTCCAGAGAGAGGAGTGACTTACATGGTATCTGAAACTCCCATGATGTCAGCTGAACCAACTGTATTACTATCAGAGTCTTCAGTTATGTCTGAGACGGCAGAGACCTTTGATTCCATGAAAGCTTCAGGACATGTTGCCCCAGAGGTGTCTCTGTCTCTCTTGGAGCCAGCTGCAACTAATCCAGAGCCATCACAGAGCACTCTAGAGCTGCCAGCCATGGCTGTTTCAGAGCTTCCAGCTGTGGCTGTCCCAGAGCCACCAACTGGGACTGTTCCAGAGCCCCCAGCTGTGGCAGTCCTGGAGACCCCAGCCATGGCTATCACAGACCCAACAGCTGTGGCTGTCTCTGACCCAGTAGCTGTGGCTGTTCCAGACCCACCTGCTGAGGCTGTCCCTGAGACCCTGGCCTTGGCCGAGTCAGAGCATGTTACCACTCCTGTGCCAGCTGTTTCTACCCTGGAGCCTGCTGTGCCTGGCCTGGAACCAGCAGTGTCAGTTCTTCAACCTAATGCAGTTGTTTCAGAACCATCTGTTTCTGTCCAAGAATCCACTGTGATAATTTCAGCGCCTGCTGTCACTGTCTCAGAGCAGACACAAGTAATACCAACTGAGATGGTTTTAGAGTCTACAACAATGATACTGGAGTCTAGTGTTACAAAAGGAGTGAATTTACTCTCTGGTGATCAAAATCTTGCTCCAGAGATTGGCATACAGGAGATTCCCATGAATTCAGATGAAGAGCCACATGCTGAAGGACACCTGAAGAACGACCCTTATGAAAGTGAACATGGTACAAATATAGACCTTAATATAAATAATCATTTAGTTGCTAAAGAGGTGGAACATAATACATTAGTGTCTGCTGCCAGCACTGGTGCTGTTGGTGAAATTGGTGAAGGGAATATTTTGTCCATCAATGAGACTAAACAATGCACAGTATTGGATACCTGCTCTAGTGTTAATGAAGCTGATGGAGGAACTCTATCTTCTGCTGGTCCCCCTGCTCTTGAATCTGATGCAATGGGAACTAGTAAGGGTATTGAATTTGCCACAGCGTCTGCTCTCGGTTCAGTTAGTAATTATGATGTTGAAGTATCGTTAACTACTCAAGATACTGAACATGACATGATAATTTCCACTAGCCCTAGTGGTGGTAGTGAAGCTGACATAGAGGGACCTTTGCCTGCTAAAGACATTCATCTTGATTTAACATCTAATAACTTTATTAGTAAGGATGCAGAAGGACCATTATCTATAAAAGACTGTGACCAGACATTAGCAGTAGCTCTCAGTCCTAAAGAAAGTAGTGGAGAAGATAAAGAAGTACCTCTCCCTACTAAAGAGATACTGTCTGATTCAGGATTTTCTGCCAATATTGATGATATTAATGAAGCAGATTTAGTGAGACCGTTACTTCCTAAGGACATGGAACGTCTTACAAGCCTTAGAGCTGGTATTGAAGGACCTTTACTTGCAAGTGAGGTTGAACGTGACAAATCTGCTGCCAGTCCAGTTGTAATCAGTATACCAGAAAGAGCTTCAGAGTCGTCTTCAGAGGAAAAAGATGATTATGAAATTTTTGTAAAAGTTAAGGACACACATGAGAAAAGCAAGAAAAACAAAAACCGAGACAAAGGTGAGAAAGAGAAGAAAAGAGACTCTTCATTAAGATCTCGAAGTAAGCGTTCCAAGTCTTCTGAACACAAATCACGCAAGCGTACCAGTGAATCTCGTTCTAGGGCAAGGAAGAGATCATCTAAGTCCAAGTCTCATCGCTCTCAAACACGTTCAAGGTCCCGTTCAAGGCGCAGGAGGAGGAGCAGCAGGTCAAGGTCAAAGTCCAGAGGAAGGCGATCTGTATCAAAAGAGAAGCGTAAAAGATCTCCAAAGCACAGGTCGAAGTCCAGGGAAAGAAAAAGAAAAAGATCAAGTTCCAGGGATAACCGGAAAACAGTTAGAGCTCGCAGTCGCACCCCAAGTCGTCGGAGTCGGAGTCACACTCCAAGTCGCCGAAGAAGATCTAGATCTGTGGGGAGGAGGAGCTTTAGTATTTCCCCAAGCCGCCGCAGCCGCACCCCAAGCCGCCGCAGCCGCACCCCAAGCCGCCGCAGCCGCACCCCAAGCCGCCGCAGCCGCACCCCTAGCCGCCGCAGCCGTACCCCTAGCCGCCGCAGCCGCACCCCTAGCCGCCGGAGAAGATCAAGGTCTGTGGTAAGGAGACGAAGCTTTAGTATCTCACCAGTAAGATTAAGGAGATCACGAACACCCTTGAGAAGAAGGTTTAGCAGATCTCCCATCCGTCGTAAACGATCCAGGTCTTCTGAAAGAGGCAGATCACCTAAACGTCTGACAGATTTAAGTAAGTCTTTTTAAAATTTAATGGTACTGTAATAGAAAATGACTTAAGTATTTTTTCTGATCTTTAAGTCAAGTGGAATACTTTGGGTTATTGGTTTAGGATAAGTATTTCTGTCTTCAAGTTTCTGTAGTTGACTCCTGGGCAACATGGGTTTGAACTGGATGGGTCTACTTATATGTGGATTTTTTTTTTTTTTTTAAGATTTTATTTATTTATTAGAGAGAGAATGAGAGATAGAGAGTACGAGAGGGAAGAGGATCAGAGGGAGAAGCAGACTCCCTGCCGAGCAGGGAGCCCGATCCAGGACTCCAGGATCATGACCTGAGCTGAAGGCAGTCGCTTAACCAACTGAGCCACCCAGGCGCCCCATATGTGGATTTTTTTGATAAATAACGTAATAGTATAAATGTATTTTCCTTATGGTTTAAAATTTTTTCTTTAGCACAAAGCATGTAATACATATACAAAATAGGTGTTAATCTGCTGTTTATGTTATCAGTAGTTACCAGTAGACCATCAGTAGTTAAGTTTTTGGGTAGTCAAAAGTTATATGCAGTTTTCAACTACATAGGGGTCAGCCAGCGCCTTTAACCCTTGTTGTTCCAGGGTCAGCGGTAATTAGATTTGCTTGTGTTTGAAAATTGTGTAGTGATAAGTACATTTATAATTAGAGTTAAAAAGACCTGTTTTGGAGTGTATTAGAACCAAGATGTTTTCATACTTGGAAGTTTTAGTTTGCTTCAACTATCTTCCTTAACTAAAGATGGAAAGTACAAGTTTAGTTAACGACAAGGCTGGGATATGCTTGATTGTTTTGGTGTATGTATTCCAATACAGAATCTCGCATATAAACCTAAAATTAGTCTTTTTTTTAATAAGTTACATATTTGAAAATGGCAACACAGGGCTGTTAAATCTGTGTGACGGTAATTCTGATTGGTATAATGGATAAAGAATGGAAGTGAGTAGGGAATTTTGCATGTAGGGAGTTATTTTTTAGCTGGGTGGCTGATACTAGCAAAACAAAGTTAAATTCATTAAAATGATTTTTGTATTTTAATAATCTGCCTTTAAAAGTAAAATGTTCTAGTTCTTCTTGATTTAAGAACTGTGCAGGGATGATTAAAACTTGATGGATAGTGCATGACTACCTGCTGGATGATTTATAATTATCTTAGTAGATTGGATATTTCTAGGTCAGGGTTGTCTAAAGAAGGCCCTAATAGAACAATAAGGGAAAATGCATTCAGTTCAACAAAAGTTGAGTTCTTTTTATTCATAGAATTACATCTTTGAAGTGATTACAAGGTGGTAGAAGAGACATGGATAAAATGCATATATGTCTCTCTTAGTAATCTGCCAAAAAAAGTAGAATGTGATGATTACTGTAAGTACTGGTATAGGTAAGGCACTTTGGGGAGCACATTGGAAAAGTGTTAAATTCTGACTTAAGGCCTATTAGAAGAGTTGGCACTTGAACTTGGGCTTAGAGAGTGATTTAAAATGACAGATTAAAAGGAAAGTAATTTTAAGGGCATCATAATTTTGGAAAATAAAGAGGGCTCTGCCGTGTGTGTATGTGTGTGAGAATATATGGTAGAGTGATTGTTGTATAATTTAGCTATTTTGTATAGTATTTGAATGGGAAGCTAAATGTCAACTTACTAGGGTCATTTACTTAAAAACTCAGCCAAGGAATGATTTGATTACAGTTATATGTTAGGGCAGAAAATTGATGCCTTTAATTTTGTTACCATATAAGATTTTAGATAATACAAAGTGTTAAGCCTATAGGAAAATTGCTTATATTTTTCCTCTTCCAGATAAGGCTCAATTACTTGAAATAGCCAAAGCTAATGCAGCTGCCATGTGTGCTAAGGCTGGTGTTCCTTTACCGCCAAACCTAAAGCCTGCACCTCCACCTACAATAGAAGAGAAAGTTGCTAAAAAGTCAGGAGGAGCTACTATAGAAGAACTAACTGAGGTAAGCTAGACAAAATTTGTTTACATTCTTAAATGGATTATTTCAGTGATGTTGACTCTGGAGCGTGCCAAAACCCGAATTGTGGGCTGAACTGATAATGGCTGGCACCGAGTGGCCAAAACCCGAAATACAGATGTGGCAGCGGCAGAAGCTCTGTTTAGCAGGCCATTATCCGGGATGGCTAAGCTCCGCTAGCTAAAAGTTACTTCCCATTACTTTTGCTTTCCAGTTTTAGAAGCCAAACTGACTGAGGAGTGGGACGGTTCGTTTGAATGGAGGAGGTGTTGAGTGAGCAACACGCAGAAGCTCGCCTACAGTTTCGTTTCCATTCACGACGTGTTCACTGATCGCCACGAGTGTACTGCATATACGCAAAGACACAGACAATCTTCAGAAATGATCTTTTGCCACCGGAGCTTGGAAATTAATGAGAATAGCTGGCCATTGCCTGAAAGGAACTTCTTACGCATCAACATTTCGGGTTTTGGCTGTTTGGTACCAGCCATTGGTGATAATGGCCGGCCATTATCAGTTCTTCCTGCGGTTCGGGTTTTGGCAGTAACATATATTTTAAACACACTTATTTTTGTTTTTAAGAATTTGATCTTTTCAATTGAGGCTTTTTTGGCTTTGTTTTGTTAATATTATTATTTTTATTATTATTATTTTTTTGGGAGGACGCTGAAATATTGCTGCTAGGATCCAGAAATATCACACTGTTTCATATATTGAAACTTGTTATTGGCTAGCCTTATGCCAGCCTGCCACTGTCAATATATTCTGTTCCCCTTGGTTACAAGCTTGGTATATACTCTGTGTTTTTTTGGCCAATTGAGCTTTTTATCCTATTGTAATATTTTCAATTGATGATGGATGTGACAAATTCTGCTTGTATAGACAAGTCCACCCAAATTTATTCTGACCTTTTTATAAAGCCAGGTAATGGAGTCTATTCCTTAGCTTCTTAGGAAGGAATGGACTTTGCTTTATGTGTCAGACCTCATCAGTTAACACTCTCCATCATGCCTTATTTTTCATTCTTGAGTTTTGTTCCTTTAGAGACTCAACCTACAAAACATTTATGGAGAGACAATTACCATCTAACCCAGTTGCAGAAGTTTAAAATTTTTTATTTTGCCGTGCATTTGGGGGGGTTCATATAGTTTCTTAATCTGTTTTCTCACTTAGATTTATTGCAATATGAATTACAACTTTTTTAATTTAAGGACTTAGTGAAGGCTTCTATTTGCTTATCAAATCTAAGCTCCTTATCTAAAGCCTTGTGAACACTTAGTGTTTCCCTATGTTTTTAAGCCTCATTTTCAGCCCTCTTGTTCTTCCAATAAGTTTCTCACCTTTTTACCACCATCTAACTAGGATGACTCTATTTTTCTTGTCCTGCCAATCCTTGTTCTTAACTATGAAAATCTGGCTTAGAACTCAAGGAATAGCCCTTGATTATCAAATTCTGCCTGATTCTGTTTTCTCTTAAGCTTTTGTTCTTTCAGCACTTATGTACTCAGTTTGTATTATATCAGTTTGCACTTGTTAATTGTGTTGCTCTGTAAAAGCGTTCCTCAGTTATTTCATGTGTATGTAATTGTTTCTTCAACTAGATTGTAAGCTCTTTGGGAGCAGGGACCACGTCTTCTACTTTTCTTTTTTTTTTTTTGTATTCCCTGGACAGTGCCCAGTACAGTGCTCTGCACATAGTAGGTGCTCAATAAATGTTGTTGACTGACCAGCTAGAGTGTGTTTAAATAATAGCTAATACTCTAAGTTACTTATTTACAACCTATTGTTAACCTGGTTTTATTTCCGAGAGTTGATTTTATGTGGTTTCGATTTTTTTTAAAAAATTGCATTTTATTCCATATAAAGTGTAAGATTTATTTTTTGTTTTTATTTTTTTAAGAAATGCAAACAGATCGCACAGAGTAAAGAAGATGATGATGTAATAGTGAATAAGCCTCATGTTTCGGACGAAGAGGAAGAAGAACCTCCTTTTTATCATCATCCCTTTAAACTCAGTGAACCCAAACCCATTTTTTTCAATCTGAATGTGAGTATTAGTGTTTATGGTTTGATGAAACAGCATAAGGACTACTTAAATAAAATTCAAATGGAATTTAATGTTTTAATTTTTGGATTAAATACCGTGAGAAATAATGAACAAAACTATTTTCAGATTATGTTGAAAGTCTTTTGAGTTTTAATTAAAGATATACATTATTTTTTAGATTGCTGCAGCAAAGCCAACTCCACCAAAAAGCCAGGTAACATTAACAAAAGAGTTTCCTGTGTCATCTGGATCTCAGCATCGAAAAAAAGAAGCAGATAGTGTTTATGGAGAATGGGTTCCTGTAGAGAAAAATGGTGAAGAAAACAAAGATGATGATAATGTTTTCAGCAGCAATTTGCCCTCTGAGGTAAGTAAGAGGAATATTGTGTTTTTTGTTTTTTAATACCTGAATCTCCCATTTTATTGTTACTTTATATCTGATTTGGATTCTGTTTCACTCTTCTTAGGGCCGGGTTAAACGGCAGGGCCGGGTTAGACGACAGATGAAACAACCCGCAGCTTCTCATTTGACAGTAACTCGATGCAATTCACTTTGTGGAACCAAGCCACAAAGTGAAAAGCATCGAATTGCAGAGAACAGTGTTATCACATCCCTACCCAACATTGGGCCCTCCTTGCACTTATGGGAAGGTAGCCCAAGGTACAACTATTTAGCTTCCCGTTTTGCTTCAAGGCTCTATAGCTCTAGATTTTGGTGGTAGCAAATTTACTGGGTGGAGGGATTGAGCAGAGAGAGGCAGATCCTCAGGTTCAACACAAGAACTGAATTGGAAAAGGTCATTGTAGGCTAATGTGTGAGCATCTTGGATACATAGCCCATTGCCCTTAAATAATGGTTTCTCTGGGTTGTTTGTCAGATAGCCTTTAATTTTAATCATTTTCCCTTCCCTGTGCTACCTTGGCCCTTTGGAATTCTTGTGTTTAACCTAATGCTCAGCCTTGGTACTCCCATTTCCCTTCTCCTTCCCCTCTTTGCTACTATTAAAAGTTGGAGAAGTGGAATTCACACCTTGAAATTACCATGAGGCTATAGTTGTATCTTGTCAAAATGACGCAGTAATAATGCCAAGTGTCAAAACAACCCCATTAAAATGCTGCCTGATTAAATAATGTGCTGCTAAGTATAGTGCACATGAAAACAGCAAGACTGTATATATATGTAAATATATATATATATATATCTGTATCTTTGTATGTATCTCTGTATCTGTATCTTTGCTGTATCTTTTAATAAACAGTTTACTTTTATTTAACTTGTTGTGCAAAATCACGCTTGGGGGATCTGGGAGGGTGGAGAATTACTAGGGGGGGGGTGGGAGTTTTGAATGATACCATAGACTAGTTATCACCTCTTGCCCTTGGTTCCAAAGCTCAGACATTTGTCCAAGGACTGGACTAGATAATATGATGCCCTTACAATGTGGGACTTCGTCCCCACTTCTTTTCTTGCAGTTCTGGGATACATGGGTCAGAGAGACCTGTTCTCTCCAACTCAGATTGCCTTCATTGGCCATATCATCTTAAACTAAACACCTCCATTATTACAAGTAAACAAATCCTGTTGTTTATAAAATCAGAAAGTGAACAGAACCCAAATCAGAAATCTTTTGATAGTATATTTTTTCCCCTGAGCTATTCACAGGTGACATTTTCACAGTGTTTTTTTTTGACCCGTGGCATTTTAAGAGAGAGCAAGTTCTGTATGATGAAGCCGGACATGATAATTAGTGCAACTTACAGTCCCCAGTGATGATTTATATTTACATGGGATTCAGCAATTGAAGCAAGTTATACTACACCAGTGAGGAAGGGATAGTTGGTTGGGACATTATTTTAATAAAACCAGTTGAGTAGCTCGGTTGCTAATCCCCAAATCAGGCTACCTGCACATCTCAAGAGGGAAGGGTTAACTGACATTTGCAAATGACTTAAATCTTGTAGTAGCTGAATATAGATCATGATAAGAGGGCCAAACAGACATACTTAGAAATTCTGATACATACGCTTTTAGTAATTTGCAGATTAAGCATTTAACAGAGTTGGGAAAGACATACGGAGATTATGTGAGAAAACATTTCCAGCCGAGAATAGTGAAAAATTCCAAGGGATTACCATGAGAAAATAAGTGATCATAACTATTTTAACCTTAGTTGAACATGGGAAAAGTGCTTAGTGAATCCTGATGAATGTTTCTTTTTGATTGAGACTTTATGTATATGTATTTATATATTTGAAGTTTAGTACTCTGCCATTTTCAGTCTTAACACTGACAGTGTGGTGCCTTAGTCTTGTCTGTCATCAAAAGCGGTTGTCAGGTTTTAAAAGTTGGGGGGAATTATTCCAAAGAAATCCCAGGGGGAAAAGTTGGGTATTCGAATTTTGTATTAAGCAGTCTTTCATGAAAGCCGGAAAAAAAGTTCAGAGGGCTAAAGAAAAGCGAATTTCTCCTATGGGAGGGTATATACAAGTATTTGATATCAGAACTCTTTGAGCTAGTTTCGTAGAAGATCAGACTGAAAAAATATGTAGGTTAACTTTAAGCGGAAACAAATCCCAAAATTTTAGAAGAGGATAAAGGGTAGGGTTTTGTTTTGCTTCTTAGGTCTCTGTACTTTTACCCAACAATAGTAGTAAACACCTCGAGGAAATGATCACTTATAAAATGTCTAGTTCTAGTTACTTAGCTGTATCTTGCAAATACATTTGTAAGATTATGTTCTATATACCGATGTTTGTGGAATACTATTGGTGACATTTTATGGGAGCATTGACCCTTTTGATTCCCTGTGAGGGGTTGAAATGAAGGCTTTTATAGAGTAAAAGGAAAGTTCTTTCAAATGGTCACTGTTTTAATAATAGTATTTTTTTTAACTTCCCAAATCTTTTTCATTTTAATAAATATAAATGGAGTTTGTGGTTTTTTAGTTTTAAGCCTAAAACATTTAAGCAAAGATCACAGATTTGATCTCAGCTTTGCTGTAATCCTTAACCCCACTAATTGTTTTGCACATGAGTGCTTTTTGACATAAGCGTGAGTGGATAGATGTGGATGGATCAACATAAATCCGTATCTAATGGAATATCAGCTCATCAGACTGTGCCTTACTGCCATAGCATCGTCTTCCTACCCAGAAGCCAGCCAGCAGCATCCTCAGTAAGGAGTGACTACAGAACTTTGACCATATTTGTGTGAATTTGATTCATAAACAGTGAAATCAAAAATGTTGGAAAACTAATATTTAAAAAATTGTCCTTGGGGGCACTCATTCTTGGTAATCAAGTTAGAGGCTTATCGGGTAGAAGATTTAAATGTAATCTTTGACATAAAATTTCCTTGGGTTTACTATTAATCATAAACGTTTAGAGGTCCAGAGGTGTAGGCAGTGTGCCTGGTTGCTTTTATTGAAAAATATTTCCACATCCCAGTGGAGCTACAGTTCTCTTAAGTGTTGTAGAAGTTTTAAATTTATAGTTTAGGAAAGCTCAGTGCTTGGGGTAAGATGTTAAATTTTAATTGAAAATTTATCACACGGGTCCTGGCAGTGCTAGAATGGTTAAATACAGCCTTGTTACTCATTCTTTCCTTAGATTTTCCTCAGTGATTAACACTGAATTTCTTTGAACCATTTAGTAGGTTGTCTGTTTGTTTTGTTATTGTAGTTTATTTAGATTAAATGTATGAGTTATACTAGAGAAGTCTATATGATGTAATAAAAAGATTCATAATTCATGGTTTAAAAACCAACACATGACAACTGAGATATTCTGTATTTGTGGCTTTTGTTTTTGTAGTTGTCCTTCTCTTTTCTATATGAACCTCTTTGTAACTTGTTAATTTTTGCTAAGTATTTTAAAATCGTATTTTACATACAGGTCAGATGCATTTTCTTAGTTCCATGTTCTTACAATTAAAAGTTTCCTTTTATACTGTCTTTTAAGATACCTGCAATTATCTTTGTAGAAAATAATTTTCATATTACAGGGCTTATTTTTCTTATCTCACTGACCCCCTCCTAATAATTCTTTTTAGCCTTTTTCTGTCATTGACTAAGAAATACCTAAGATAATTGTTACATTTATGTAAATAGTTGGGTTGACAAAAGGGGGAAGTAAATTGACTTAGGATTTTTTTTTTTCTTTTTGACTTAGGGTTTTTTAAATGAGAAAGATACAGAAGGTACACAGTTATAACTTGGGTTATGAAATGCATGTTACATTATGGGTTTCATTATTCCTGACACTTTTTTGGAGTATGGAAGAAGTGATCTGCTGTGTTGCTGTAGCAGAGAGATGAAATAACTTGGATAGGTTTTTATTAATATGAGAACTGGAATTATAATTCAGAATAGTCTTTTATGTAGATTTTACTTCTTCGATAAGTCCTAGTCTAAAGGAATTAAACATTTCCCCCCATTATAATACTTAGAATATTACTATAGTATCATAATTAGACTTTAGAAAATCTGTATCAGGGGAAACAAAAAAGGCTTGTTGATGACAACTTGACAGTAGTATTCTATGAGATTTTAAGATCCCTCCCCCCCTTGTTTTTAGAAGGGCTTTCTAAAAAGCATCACTTTGGTACCTTTCACATATTCCTATTTCTGAGCAACATCAAACGATGGTTACGGCTCTGAAGTTCACTGTGTAGTATAATCCACTGTATACACACATACACGCACACCATATAGTCCAATGTTGTAGTCACTGGCCACTGAAAAATCAGTTCCTTAATTTGCCCTAGCCACATTTCAAGTGCCCTTTAGCTGTTATTGTAGAGAATGATACTGGCCAGTGTTCTAAAGAATAACTCTGATGTTTTATGAGAATTTTAATACTGATATGTAACATTTGGTCTAGTCCTTGAGTATTAATGCTTTGGGGATTATATTTGGCTTTTTGTGCATTATTGCATATCTTGAATTACCTTGAAAACCTGGAAACATGCTTTTTGATTCACACTCTTGAGGATCCTTAAGAGGTTAAGATAATCCTGGTTCATTTTATTTTGAGTATATTTCCTCACATTTAAAAATACGAATAGAAAAATAATTACTATCTGGTAATAAGGTTTTGACGTGAACTTGCAGCTCACTTAGTAAGCCTGTTGAATAAATGAAATTGTGTTACTTCAGAAAAAAAATAGTTGTAATTTTATCTAAAGTAAATTTATATTAAACATCAAGGTTGCTATATTAAAATTTCTTTCAGTGTGAGATGTGAATTTAACAAAGTATTACTGAGATTGGAATGAAGTTTCATCCTGGGGATAAATGAGAGCTTTAGGTTATCTGCTTAGTCAGTAAAGACTTAGAAAAATGTATGAAGAAATGTTTTCAGAAGGAGGGATTCAAAGATATATTGATTTGCTTTCCAGTTGGGAAGAATTTCATTCTGGAAAAGTTGAGAGCTTTCAGAGCCATCTTAACTACATTGTCATGGCTAAATTCATAGTTGGGAAATTGGGAATTAGGGCCTAGGGTGGTGGGTAGATAGATTTTCCTCATTGTCTCCTATAAGCTTAGATTTTCTGGAATAAAAACCCATTTATACCTAAACATCCTCAAAGACTTACAGACTGCTACCCAAAGTAATTTGGGCAAGGTTAATGAACAGTATTTGAGATGTATTTGGTGGGCCTTTAGATTACATAGATAATCCTACCTAACAGTTTTAGGAAATATCTAAGGTAGGCCAAAGGAATGTAAATTTCGGCCTAAAATACCTGGGTTCCCATTTAAAGTGCTAGTAGTTGATCAGAATTGTAATAGAAGTAAAAAGTGAAGACACTAAAGTTATTAGTGTTTAATTGTGACTTTGCTTAGATTATTTTTTATAGGCCCCAGCTATATTCTAATTAGTATGGATAATTTACTCTATTAACTAAGAAATTAAGATCTTTCATTCATGAGATCTATAAACTGTACAATTACAGAATGAGTTCCAATTCATTTTGCTTTCATTTTAAGAAAGTAATACATAATTGTGGAAGAAAAAATTTAATTTTGCTAGAAGAATATTATGAGATGATTCAGCAAGATAACTAAGAATGATGGAAGAATAAGGGGTTCTGAAAGTAGGAAAAGGAAGATCGGGAATTCTTATGCATGAGATAGAATTACTCTCAGGTGGTCACATACTTCTCTACTATATAGGTCTTTATTTTAGAAGTATTTCATATGCAGTACACAGTTAAATTACAGATAGCCTTTACTTAGCTTTTCAAGAAAAATCCTTAGCTGTTAACATATCTTCCTGACTCCCTTATGTTTGTCATATCCATGCAGTACCCATTAATCATTCTTTGTAAATGAATATAGGAAAACCTTCCCATGTCAAATAAACATTTTCCGAAAATGAATTTTCTTGGGTGCAATCACTGGGAAATATTAATGGGTTAAGTTGTGTCAGAAGAAAAGTATTAAGAATTGGTAAGTTGATATAAGTCAACATGAGCTCTTAACATTAGATAAAAGAACATCAAATACTTGATTTTCCTTTTATGGTTGAGCCTTCCACAAAACTGATAAATTGGGAATTTGTTCTAAAGATTACCTTTAAGAATTTTCTGGGACATTATGAAGCATTTAAAAAAGTTAAACCATAAAGTCACCTCTGCTTAACACAGTTTTTACAGGTAGGGTATGAACTTTGAAAAGGAAGACATACCTCATTTTAAGTTTTTTTGTTCATGTTGTTCTGTACCCCCACAGAACTATTTTAATTTGGGTCATTAATGTATATAAGCTGAAAACAAAAAGTCATGTATTTAATGTTTTTTGAAGAAGTGGAGTTCTTAAGACCAAATTATCCCTGAGCATCTGCAAGAAGGTGGAAAGATGTGTGGTTGAGTGAAGGAGAGGCCACTGATAGGATAGTTGTTTTCTGCTTGCTTATTAAAGAACCTTGCTTATTACTTCTGAACGTTATGCTAATAAGTAAGGTAAAATGAAAACTGCTAATGCATATAAAATTAACAGTTCAAAAATAGTTCAGAATTTTTTGTAAATGACTTGTTAGTGAAAGCTAGAGTTTTAAGTTCTTTGCAGTTTTCTATGATTGTAATTTGATAAAGTAGAAAATAATGAAATCGCATTTTGGGTTGAGTTCAACTGCCTCTGATACTTTGTAACTTACCTTATTAAATCCTCGTCTACTTTCTGAGGTTCCTTTACTTTTTGGCATCTTTTTTGTACTTTTAAAGATTATTAATTTGTAAGACTACTATTTTATTTTTGACATGTAGCAGCTAAAGATAAGAGCACTTTTTAGAATTTAGGGGGTCTATCGTAAGTTGAGATAATTATCTATGTTTTCTTTCTTAGCCTGTGGACATCTCAACAGCAATGAGTGAGCGGGCACTTGCTCAGAAAAGACTCAGTGAGAATGCATTTGACCTTGAGGCCATGAGCATGTTAAATCGAGCTCAGGAACGGGTATGTAGCAGTTCTAATGTCTAAATGAGAATTTAATTAGATAGTTGTGAGATAAGCTAAGTCTGTGGCATGCTGTTGAAATGTTAAAAATCCAAGGAAATAAATAATTTGTCATTATTAGCTTATTTTAAATGAAAGTGATTTGGGGCATGAGCATTCATTTAGTAAGAATTTATTGTGTGCTGTGTGGCAGGAACTCTTTAGGAAAGTAAAAGAAGATTCCCTGCCCTTACAGAGTTCGTAAGTTGGTATCTAAAAGTAGCTATGCACCCATAGTAGCCCTGTGAGATGTGGGTACTATTATGATTTCCCAGTTTCCAGCGGAGGAAACGGACTACAGAGTGGTTGGTCAACTTGAAACGAAGATGATGCTGTATGTTAACTACACTGGAATTAAAAGTAAAAGAAAAAAAAAAAAAGTGATTAGGCAGTCTGAGTCCAGAGTCTTTATTTTTAACAGTGGAAGCTTTTCCATTTGTCTTCTACATTCCTTTAGTAGATCTGTATAGAAACCGTAAATACACTTTCAGACAGATAAGGAAATACCACTGCCTGACAATACCAGTGTGCAGTAAATCTGTGGAGGACCGACAACTGATTCTTTAACCATCACAGTAAATGATGGTGATTAACGTAGGGCTCAGTTTTTAAAGAAAGCTGTTTTATGTATTTGAACAATTTCCTGTATTTATTACTCCTTAAACATGTCTCTTGAATTTATTCTGGATTTCTAATACCACAAAGAAGGTAGTTAAAAACTCAGGTGATTATGACATTTATATATGTACATAAGCAGGGGGCGGGGATCCTTTGCCATATGAACTCTTTTCTGTGTTCATGTATCCATGTGATATTTTGAAGAATGAATATTACAGTTATACTTTTTAGTTGGTAGAAATACATCTCAAATCTTGTTATTAATGGGACCCACTGAATGTTACCAAAGTGCTTCTTTGGAGTGTTTAAGAAAACAATTTTAAATATGTATAAATTCAGCATACTGTTTTAAAAGTTGAAGTTTTAAGTCTTAGCTTTTTCAAGAACGAAATAAACCATTTCGTGTGGTGAAATAAACCAGTGGGATTTTGACTAGATAAGTAATTTTACATAGTTAATTGAGGCATCTTTTTTTCCTTCAGATTGATGCCTGGGCTCAGCTGAACTCCATTCCTGGTCAGTTCACCGGAAGTACGGGAGTACAGGTTCTGACACAAGAACAGCTGGCTAATACTGGTGCCCAAGCCTGGATTAAAAAGGTACACAACATCCGCACATATGAAAGTGGCCAAGTACAAAGTTAAGATTTTTTTTTTTTAGAAAATGTTTTATTAAAAATGCACGAAGAGGCCAGTGACATTAACCAAAGTTCATGAGTAGATTTGCTGTGTGTGTGTATACTCTAGGATGGACACTGAAGATGGACCTGATTTGTGAGACTGGCAAATGTATAAATATGGCTTAAGAGCCGCTCCGTTTATATCCTCAAGTTATTTCTGTATTGCTGCTGCTGGTTTTTGGGGGGGTGGTTTTTTAAAACTGTTTTGAATGCTAACAGTGTATCTCAGGTGCTGTTCAGAATGTTCCACAGTTCCTGTTGGACTACTAATCTAATGATTTCAAAGCAGTGGTTCTCAAATTTTTTCTCATCATGGGATACTTTATTACAGGTTTATTTTTGGTGGATCACTGCCCCCAAGAGTCCTCTTACCATCCCAGTTTTTCCATTTCTCTATTCCTCTGTCCTTCTTTCCCCTTCCTTAGTGCCTGTGCCCTCTTGTAAGCTCTCTTGGCCCTTATTCCTCACCCCTCTGGTGACCTCCAGCCCCCGATCCCTATGGTTGGTTGTCAGCTGCCGGTTACAGCAAGTTGGTTGGGAGGCCCCAGTATTAGCACTGCATGTGGTGATTTTGCCATGGGACTGGAAGGCTGGGGAGGAGGGCTGGAGTGTGTGTGTGTGGGGGGGTGGGCAGTGCTAAAGGGTGGTGAAGGGGGGCGGGGTGGGGACGGAGGATACTATCTGTGGACCACCATTTAGGCCCTGGTGGCCTCTGGTGATCCACAGGCTCAATTTGAGAACCACTGATCTCATGAACAAAACAGGATAAAATAAGACCTAAATTCAAGGGAGAGGACGGACGCCTCGTGCTGTGAAGATGTAGGTGCTCCTGGTTTCAGATTCCTGCAATGAGACCTGTGAACTCCACCTACGGCTGCCTCATTGTTGGGGGAGTCTTAGGTGGTTAAGAAGGGCTTTCTAAAGAAATGCCTTCTGGTGAAGGGATGTGGTTTGGTTGGATGGGTGATGGGAAATTTGTTTCAGGAGTACTGGCAGCATGGCAGTGCTGAAACTGGGAGGCTGCGTGGTCTAAAGGATTGGGAAGGTTTCTTTATCCCGCTGTACTCCTGACTGCTTTTGTGATCATGGGCAAGTAATTACTTGGAATTTCAGTCTCTGACTGTCATGAGAAGACAAGTCATTATTACTGCTTCACAGGGTGGTAATTAATAGCGTGATGGGCACCTGTGAAGAATTGCAATGATTGCCGGGGAATGAACTGAATTTCGGCAAAATGAGATTTTGGTTGCTTCGGCTCTTTTAATCTCATAATATTTCAATTTTGATAGCATTATCTCTAATGACCCTCTTATTAACAAATTAATACAAGACATGATATACCCTCAGTTTGCCTGCCATTTTTTGGGGGGAGATAGTTGCACTAATAGGTGTATAGTGAGTATATGGTCAGATTTATGAAAAATTTACAGCTTTTACTAGGTAATTTTAAATTGCAATTTACTAGGGATTGGTGTTGGAAAAAATGAAAATCTAGCAAAATATTTTAAGTTTTGAGTTCATTTTGGACTTTATATTACAGTGTTTAAAAATATAGTGATTTGTGTAGTATTTGAAAATGGTTCTCATCTCATTGGGAAGAATTATAATTATACACCTATTTGAATAGTTTTAATTCTTTAATACTATTTAATCTTGAAGCTTGAGTGCTCAGTATTTCAGAAAGTTAGACTTGAAGCTTATGTGGGTGGTTAGGCACATAAAAATTAAATAGTCTTGAACATTATTAGGTAGAAACTTCTAAATGCTATTCCATTGCAAAATTTTGGACTTCATTTGTATAATGAAGTACTGATCCATAATGCTTATATAGTTCTAAAGATCATGTTAACATAACTTGCAAAAATGAATCTCTTAATGGTTAAATTGGCTCGCTGCAAACTTTCCCTTAAAAGTTTTTTTTTTTGACTTCCAGTCTTGTAGGCAGTTGACAGGTTTTAAATAGTTTACATGTTAAATGTGTAAGTCATTTTGATAAATGATGAGATGTGTTCATCAGAGAAGTTTTTAAATAATAGTAAGAAAGCTGTGCTTTCAGAAAAAATCCCATTTATATGTTTACAGAAGAACATTTGCTACTGATAGGAAGGAACATTTATAAAAATGTGGAAAAGTCCTTAGACAGCTGAAAATTTAACATTTATCTTCACTGTCAGATCACAAAATGTCTGTTTATTATGTTTAGCAAACTTTTTCAGTGATCATATAGCTTTTCTTGCCTTGCTATAGCCCAACACCCTCTTCTGTGCTTAAAAACCCCTTGGAATGCCAACATTCTCCATATTCTTTTTAGTTTGTTGCAGTAGATTCTTAGATGAAAAAGAACGAGAGTTTTACCATTACTACTCTTTGTCAGTAAAACATTTTTAACTAGTAATTTAAAAGGACCTTTATTTTTTGGAATTAAATGATTTGGACATGACCCGATGGGTTTTGTTTACTATTAATAGTTTCATTAGATTAAGCAGCTTTTTGGTGAACTGTATACACAAGGGGGTTAAAGAAACATGAAGATAGTAGAGAATGGAAACCAAGTTGGAAGCCTGGGTTATTTGGGAATTTGCGTTATACTCTGCACAGTTGCCCTTTTTTTTAGGAGTGTTGCCTGGAAAAGAGGGGCGGATGAACCTGGAAGTAAGTAAAAGTCACTGTAGGTGTGTAGCAACAAGGCAGTTGATATCCAAGCATCAGCTAACTTTTCTCTTTATACATCAACACTGCATGGCCTGCACCAAATAAGGAACTGAACCAGGGGTATGTTTTTACCTCCACAGCTGCCTCCTTCCATCAGAGCACCTTGTTGAACTTAATGTCTAGTCACACATCATTGGCATGCTTTCTCCCCAGCATATAATTTACAAAGCTGGGGAAAAAAAAATAAGATGATACAGTTTTACTACTGTGTGTAAAAACAAGATTTAAAAAATTTAGTATTAACTTATCAATACAGGGAATAATGCATACTCTTTCCAGGGCTACCAAAAGTTTTGACTCCCTCTGTTGATAAGTTAATGACTTTTGCTATATATTTGCTAGAGAACGTAACTCAAAAATTTAATAACAAGGGGAGGTAAAGCAGGATTTGGAGATGTTACAAATTAAAAAAAAATGACCATAAAAATCAACAGAATTTGTTTTGTGTACATGGATGTCCTTTAAAATAGAGGCATCGCCTACTTATTAATGTATGAAAATGACTGTTGACCATGCTAATGTATATAGTTGTGCATCTTATGACATTAAGTGGTTTGCTGCTTTGATGGAAATTATGGTTCAGTGGGTTGGATACAAGAGAGATGACTGTTCACAGAATAACCTGTGAACTTTCACCCCTCTGTATGGAAACTTGTTTCAGGGCCAAATCCTTGTAGCTGCCTTCTTGCCCCGGTCAGTGCCAGCCCTACTATTCACAACACTGCTGCCACCGAGGCCTAGGTATGTAAACGCTTAAGGAGTTTTTTACACGTCTTTTAACATCACGCTAGGTTTTAAAAGAATGCAGTTTCAGTTTGGTATGATGACAGGGTATTTTATGTGACTGTCCATTTCTTACTGTGTAAATATGAAGAGTTATCTTTTTGCTTCATAGGGATTTTCTAAGTAAAATATTTATACTTGCTTTATGGTAGAATGGGGAAGAACACTTGGGATGTTAACAGTATGCTTCTTCAGTGTCCAAACTATTTCTAAATGATTTCTGGGCTTTATTCATTAACTAGGTACACCTGGGACAATTAATATTTGACTGTTTTAACATTGCCTTCTTTTTATTTTGCAAGCTAAGAAGAGATACCAGTGAACCTAAATAGTGGACGAAAACAGGAGTGTTCTAATTTTTTTTTTTTTTTTTTTGGGGGGGGGCATGAGGGCCACTGTTTTAAACTGCCATTTATTTGCCTTATTTGACTTTCAAAATACTATGATGTTAATGTGAAATTAGAACATCCACACTACAGTATGTATATAAGTATAGAAATTAAAATTTAATTGCTATATCAGATCTAGAAAATAAGATTTTTTTTTTTTTTAAAGTTAACACTGAGTTTGTAGTCAAATTCTAACTGTGAAATGGGGACATTTTACCTTTCTTTCTTTGGATAGGATCAGTTCTTAAGAGCAGCCCCGGTAACTGGAGGAATGGGAGCCGTTTTGATGAGAAAAATGGGCTGGAGAGAAGGAGAAGGATTAGGAAAAAACAAAGAAGGAAATAAGGAACCTATCCTAGTTGATTTTAAGACAGACCGAAAAGGTAACACATTGTTTTGGGAATGTTGATTATACCTCCTTTGATATTTTAGGGTTTCATTAACTGTCCTTTTTTTTGCGCCCAGTGTGAGCTTGAACTTTACAACCCTGAGATCATGAGTCATGCTCTACTGACAGAGCGAGCTGGGCGCCTCTTTCAAAAAATTCCTTTTCCCCAACATAACCTTCCTACATTTTGATGTCCGTGATGCTTAACTGTAGCACATTTACAGCTGTTTGTTAGGAAATGAAAGCTTTTACCTATTTGTGGCAGCTTGTATAGATATAGATGGAGTCACTATTTTGAGCTAAAAGACGGTCTCAATGTTAGTTTTAAATAAGACGGAAATGTGCACATATCAGTGTGCACATTTTAGTAAACGGTATCCCCATTTTGTTTTCTCTCGACAGGGAACGTATACTTGTCTTTGTTTCTGGGCTGTATTTTTTTCCTTTCTCAGATTTTTTTTTTAAAAGATACTACTTATTTATTTGACAGAGAGAGACACAGTGAGAGAGGGAACACAAGCAGGGGGAGTGGGAGAGGGAGAAGCAGGCTCCTTGCCGAGCAGGGAGCCCGATGCGGGGCTCGATCCCAGGACCCTGGAATCATGATCTGAGCCGAAGGCAGCCGCTTAACCGACTGAGCCACCCAGGCGCCCCCCTTTCTCAGATCTTTTATCCCACATATTCTCCTTATTTCCTATTAAGAGTGCTGTTTTGTCTTCATCCTATATACCCTTTTGGCATGTCCCTTTTTTAAAGCTCTGTAATTGAGTTTTCTGGGGTTGGGGCTGGAGAATAGTAGACCAGTTGCTGACAGCAATGTCAGCTCTTCATTTTACCTTGTGCTTGGGGCACCTTGAACTTCTAAAAATCTTTACTAGTACTTTGCTACTCAGATGGAGATCTGTCTACATAGCCTGCATGCAGTTGCTAAGTATTAAAAATATACTTGGGGCACCTGGGTGGCTCAGTCAGTCAAGCATTTGACTCTTGATTTCGGCTCAGGTCATGATCTTCAGGGTCTTGAGATTGAGCCCTGCATTAGGTTTCCCCACTAGGTGTGGAGCCTGCTTGGGATTCTCTCTCCCCCTCTGGCTCCCCACATTAAAAAAAAAAAAATACACATATGTATATATACATTTAGTGCTCATTGATAACAACCAATTGGTACCTCTTAAGTAATTTCTTCCCTTGGAATAACGTCTTACATAGAATCAGATGGGGCTGGGCTGTCAGCTCAATGTGATTTCAATAGCTTGTTTGTATAAGCCTGATTTTTAAGAACTGGAAAGTTCAAAACTGGAATTTTCCTTATCTTTGCAGTCAGAAAAGTAAGTTGAAGTTAATGCAATTAAATTATTCTGTGTCAGTGAATTTGGAAACCAATTAGCTCGGACCAAATTGTGTGTCTTATAAAATGTTTTGCATCAGAATTTCTATGTTGTCATCCACGTAGAATACTGTGATGCCATTTCCCCCCTGCAAAATTGGAGGGATTTAATGTAATGATTCTCCAGTAGGCTGGAAATAGCATGAGAATCATTCTGTGCTGTAGCATCAATTCAAACTCTAGATTAAATTAGAAAAGGATATTGTACTGATGGCACATTGACATTGTCTTACTTATACAAGTTGAATAGATTTTGTGTCATAAAATGTGATTGGAAGAAAACATCTGTGAATGCATTATGTAATTCCAGGGAACATCCTCTTTGGAATTGTGTAATAGACGTTGGGTTTGGAGAAGCATACTAGCAGAATTAGTATGGAGAAGCATACTAGCAGAATTAGTAAAGAACTGATTGAAAGTTCTAGGAAAAATGGAAGCAGGAAAGCATGGATTTTGGCTAGTCGTAATACAGTGAGATCCCATTGGGAAGGGAGGTCATGCAGTGAGATCGTTCTTCTGTGAACATCTTCATTTGATAAGTCAGAAAGGGGTTTGCTGAGAAAAATATAGACCCATTTATAGAAACACCTTCTCACTTTTAATTGTTTGGGATGTGTGGCCTAAAATCCTCACCTTTTGGAGAACTTAACTGAGCACTGCCTTTAGAAATCACTTGTAATAAACAGCCACTACTTTTTAAACTTAAAAGAAACAGTTCTGGAGATGTTAAATATGGCACTATTCATATACTAAGTTTTTGTGTTCTCTGAACATTTTGATTTTTTTATACCACTTCTTAGTACCAAGGTATATGAACATAAAGTATAGAGGTTTACATATTGAAATAGAGGAAAACAGAAGTCAAATTCTATAAAAATCAAGGGTAGTGGGAGTTGAATATTTTATTGGAAGGTATAGGTTGAGATTCAGATTCTTGTAGAGGGAATCACTGTATAATTTTAAAATGATGCTTTGGAGTTTATTCAGTGAACAATGGCTTTTTATTTTAAAGGTCTTGTTGCAGTAGGAGAAAGAGCACAAAAGAGGTCCGGAAACTTCTCTGCTGCAATGAAAGATCTGTCAGGTGAGAGTACGTTTTAATTTCCTCTTGTCCCATCCCCACCTTGAATTCATAATTCATTGCCACAGATAGTGAAAATAATTAACAAATGGTTATTTTTTCCTCTGCAGGCAAACATCCTGTGTCTGCTTTGATGGAAATCTGTAATAAGAGAAGGTGGCAACCACCAGAATTTCTCTTGGTCCATGATAGTGGCCCAGATCATCGCAAACATTTTCTCTTTAGGGTAAATATGAATTTCTGCATTAATTGTATACCCCTATTAATTTGATGACTTAGAGGGTGAGGGATAGGCATTGTATGGTCACAGGATTGATACATTGTGGGCTGGGAGTGAATATGTATGTGTGGGTAGAAGTGGTGGTGGGGTTTTTGGGTTCTTAAATATTTAAGTATATTTTAATACGACCTGTTAATATCCTGGTTTTCAAAAATGTTGGAGGGAAAGATGTGGGCAAAAATCTGGTGAACAATTTGTTGACATTTTCTAATGGAACATGGGGAATTAATTTAGTTTTATCAGGGTTTTCTCCATTCCGCCCCCCGCCCCCCATTTGGAGACCTGCTTTTAATTTGCAGTCCCTTTTCCCAAATGATTTGCTTCTTCTGGGTTGAGATTAATTTGACTTACATAGTGTGGGGTTTATATTTTTGTAAATTATTTTTCTAGCATTTAGTGAAAAAATACAAAGCTAATAGATATTAAAGTTTGATGCTGTTCTTATTGTATGTTTTTCTTGAATAGGTATTGAGAAATGGAAGCCCTTACCAGCCCAATTGTATGTTTTTCTTGAATAGGTATTGATAAATGGAAGCGCTTACCAGCCCAGCTTTGCCAGCCCTAATAAGAAGCATGCTAAAGCCACAGCAGCTACTGTGGTTCTTCAAGCAATGGGCCTTGTACCAAAGGACCTCATGGCTAATGCCACTTGCTTCAGGAGTGCCTCACGTAGATAGATTGAGGTTTTATATTAATCATTTCAGATAATTTTACTCTGCATCAAAATGTTATTTCCTCTTTAATGTTGTAAATATTTGGCAATTTAAGACATTGTGTAAAAAGCAATCTGTACAAACATCTCCAGGCTTTGATTTTTGTACCATGGAAATTGTATTTAACCATACAGGGTTTTGGTATGTTTATATTGTTTACCTTAGTGATGTATTTGTTTAAGTGGCTAACATCCAAACGATTGTTTGAAGGCATCCGTAATCTTCAGTGTGGAATGTTAAATAACGCTTTTATACTGTATTTTGTACTATGATGTAACCTCCCTTCCTTATGGCTAGGCTGCTGTAACACTTGCCTGTAATCAGTGAAGGGCTGTGCACCTTGTACTAGTTCACAATGGGTTCTGCTGGACAGATACTGGGCCAGTGTTACTGAGGTAATCAAGCAAGATCTGTTCCACAGGGCTAATAGCCACCATCTCCCCTGAAAATTTTGTAGAGGTTATAAAAAGAAAGTGGTATGTTGTGTGATGATCTGCACCAAGTCCTGCATTCCCATCAAAGCCACTTGGGCCATGAGAAGGGAGTCAAAATGAAGTCCGATTAGAATTCTACTGCAGAGGCCAAGTACATTTAGTATGGCATTGAGTTGTGATATAGTTTTACTTTGATGTGCATTTTGAATTTCAGCTACACCTAGATAGACGTTAAATGATAATTAAAATGCTGTAACCAACTTATCTAATAAAATCGGCACCCAGCCACTATTTTGTTGACTATGAGAAAGTTTAAGTTTATGTTAATTTTTAGGGTCTGATAGAATATTTCATGTGTATTACAGTGGTATTCATAATGCTATGTCTCTAAACTTTATTTTCAAAAGCTTAAGGCCCAAATATAAACTTCTCTGGAATAAATGTGGTGTTTTATTTTCTGCACCTTAAAGTGAACACATACTTCTTCACTAAATACTGTTAATTCTTTACCCAGTGCTTTTGATTTCTAAGTACTTTTATTTTTAAGAAAATCTGAATCACACGCACGCACACGCACACACACGCACCCCCAGAGCAATAAATACTACTTTACCATGACAGCTGAGCATACATTACAATTAACACTATTCTACGTGGAATACAAAATACCCTTATCTGAATTAACATGCATTAAAAAGCCAAATTTAATATATTTGAGAATAAAGGAATTATAAATCAGAAGGAAAGCAGCAACTAAGTAGACACATCAACAATCAGCTTAGCAGATACTGTCTACGTTTGTTGTGTATCTTTTTAAAGCTAGAACCTGCATATAATTGTAGGTTCAAGTACAGTTTTGCCCTGATGCCATCAGTCACAATGCCAGGAGATAAGGGATAGTAATTTAGCTTCAATTCCCGTTTGCAAGGAAACACTGACATTCATGACATTCAGTTTTCTACTCAGTTTATAATTGGGTTGTAAGGGTCTGGAAGTCTCAAGTTATTGATGTTTTTTTAAAAAGTTGGGAGTTGTCTTCATATCTGAATGATCTAATCAGAATAGTAAAAAATACGATTTAAAATCTTAATCCTGCTTAACGCATGTAATAAAAATTAAAAGGTTAACATTTATAAATATTTGAATATTTTAAAGATAGTTATATTCCTTTAACTTCCAAAATGAACTTTAGAGCCAAAGGGATAACAATCTTGAATTTCCTTGCTAGAAGGCTTTTTCCTCAAAGATTCCTTTTAGGCTTACTTTGGTGTTCAGGATCTCCAATTATAAACGTAGTCACTCATTTCCACATGCCTTAAAGATGATTTTCCCAGTATTGGTGTTTGACTGAGTTGGTCCAGAGTCTTAGGATGCAACCCACAGTTGGCAAGCTCCTCATGAACAGTCTCCTGTGGAAATTTATACTCTAGTTAGTTAAAAAGCACATCAGTCTTTGAACACTCAGATTTTACTTTTTTCGTTTTTGTATTTTTTACTAATCTCTACATGGGGCTTGAATTCACGACCCTGGCAAGCGTTGCATGCTCTTCCGGCTGAACCAGCTTAGGTTCCCGTTTCTATTTTAGAGTAGGCTGCATGCCCAGTGTGGGGCTTGAACTCAGAACCCTGATATCAAGAGTCGTATGCTCTACCAACTCAGTCAGCTGGGTGCCGCTGGACACTCAGATTTTAATAATTACCATGGGAACTTTGACAAATACCTGCCTTAATCGTTTGCTTATACGGTAAAGGCAGTTCATTATCAATAGAAGTTGACCCTAAAAATTTTCACATACAACAACAGCATCCACAAATAATTTTGGTTATTTTCATAAGTCTGGCAAATGATAAAAGCATGAGGCAATTTTAAAGGTCTTAATACCTGTAAATAAAAACCTAACTATGTCCAAAATTAAAAGCAAATACTGGTTACCCATAGTTTATAATAAAAGAATCAGGTACTACTAATTTGTGGATCTGAGATGGCCATGAACATAACTTGCCTTTTCTTTTTGTTTGGGAAGTTCTTCAGTCATTGTTGAGCACAACAACCTAAATTCATAAAATTTACCTCAAAAAAACCAAGTCTTAACCCTTCATCTTAGTAATTAGGATTGATAAAGTTGAATAGTAAGTTTAATAAACTGAGATACAAGTTTGGCTCATTGTAAATCACTTATTTCTTGCATCTGAGGAAATGAGCTACAGTGAAATACGCATACAGCTAATGTTTACTTACCTTATCCAGTACTTTATTCACTGGCAGGCAGGCATTAAATACGGCAGTTGGCTCATGTGTATACAGTCCAGCAGAAAATGACCCCTTTTGTGAAGATCTGAGTAGCATGGTTACAGAATGTAGAGAATGAGGCATGACAGGACCTGTAATCTCCAAACTAAATTGATCTTTGTATCCAGAAACAGCTTGTGTCTTCACATTTACACTTCGTGCCTTCAAGAAAATTTAAAGAAAAAATTATGGTCACCATCTCTCAAGCTTTTTTGTCCCTAAAGACTTGTTCAGTAACCTCATTTCGGTTTTCCTTTTTATTAGTTACGGACTAAAAGGTACAGCATAGAGGGAATATAGTCAGTGGTATTTTAATAGCATTGTATGGTGACAGACAGTAGCTACTACGCTTGTGATCATAGCATAAAAGTAGTGCACAAGACCTCCAAAGAACGCTATAGGAGTAAAAATGTTAATTCTCCATCTGTAGCTCATCTTCTCCAAATTATGACTCAGTTTACGCATGTTTTAGAGGCTGTAATTTTTCATATGGCATCCTGACTTAGTAATACCCTTCTTTATATTAAAAAAAATTTTTTTAAGTAGGCTCCATACCCAGCATGGAGCCCAATTTGGGGCTTGAACTCATGACCCTGAGATCAAGACCTGAGCTAAGAGTCAGTTGCTCAATGACTTAGCCACCCAGGTGCCCCAATTAAAACTTTTTTTAATGGAAGTACAGTTGACACACAATGTTACATTAGTTTCAGGTGTACAACAGTGATTTCACAACTCTATATGTTACGCCGTGCTCGTAAGCGTAGCTCCCATCTGTCACTGTACAATGCTATTACAGCACCGCTGACTGTATTCCCTGTGTGGTAACTTTCATTTCCCTGACTTACTCTATTCCATAACTGGAAGCACTCACCTCCTGTTCCCCTTTACCCCTTTTTGCCCACCTCCCATCCCAATTCGATAATATATTTTCAATGCAGAATACTGGGCAAATATAAGAATAAATTCTATTTTTAAAAGTAAATAATTCTATTGCTAGTAACATTCACTATATACTTTGTATTTACATGCATAATTTTTTTCATCACTATCGATATACAGCTAGTCTTTCCACTTATCCATGATTCAGGTTTTGAGATTAATAATGTAACATAACAATCTTGGCTAGGTTCTTGCATTGGTTAAGAAATGAGACAAAATGAGATTAAGCAATTTTTCCATATGGCAAAACGCTTTTGTTGCCAATCATATTTATTCAGTCAGAAAAAATGATTTTCATGTAATTCAAACATTTCATATAATTACTGTATTTTCATGTAATTCCTTTGATATACCTTTATATCAATGAATTTTTTACTGGGAGGAAAGCAAAGACAAAATCTGCACCATACAAGAATTTGTTCTTGATTTCTTTTTTTTTTTTTTAAAGATTTATTTATTTGAGAGAGAGAGAGCGCGCGCGAGCATGAGAGGGGGTTGGGTCAGAGGGAGAAGCAGACTCCCTGCTGAGCAGGGAGCCCGATGAGGGACTCGATCCTGGGACTCCAGGATCATGACCTGAGCCGAAGGCAGTCGCTTAACCAACTGAGCCACCCAGGCGCCCCTTGATTTCTTCTTAAAAGGCTAGTTTATGAGGATTAGTGTAGATTCTTTTTCCCCCTTTTCATTACCTTAAGCATTTGCATTGTGGCACCTCGGAAAGCTACAGGCGATAAGAGGGTTGGTGGAAGTCCTGCCTGGGGACCTGAACTAGCAATTAAACTCTTAGAGTTGATCAAAAAATTCAGCAACGTAAGGGTATTCATTCCTTTCACCAACACAACAGACTCAGGCCTGTGATCCATTTGCACTTCATGTTTCTCTTTACGTCTGAAGATGACAATCAAGGAACTTGCAAATTTAAATCCCATACCACTGGGAAAAACAGTCATCTTGATCCTGAATAACCTCGGACCCTTTCTTCCCATTCGGAACTGGAAATACTCTTGCTACCCCCGACTCTGCTGCAATTATAATGCATCTGTTTACATCAAAATTTCTCTTTGACCATTTGAATTTGCTAGAAGTTGACATCTAACAAAAACTAATTTCTTCTCTAGTCAAAAATATGCTCTATATGCAATGTTTTCATTTAAAAAAACAGTTTAGTAATAATTGTTCACGGTTTACTGGTACTTAGGGAGTCTGTTATTTAATATCATGATGGAGAATTAGTTTACTTTTTTTTTAAAGATTTCATTTATTTGACAGAGAGAGCGAGAGAGCACAAGCAGGGGGAACAGTAGAGGGAGAGGGAGAAGCAGGCTCCCCGCCGAGCAGGGAGCCCGATGCAGGGCTCGATCCCAGGACCCTGGGATCATGAACTGAGCCGAAGGCAGACGCCTAACCATCTGAGAGCCACCCAGGTGCCCCAGAGAATTAGTTTAAATATGATCTTAAGATTACAGTCAAATAAAGCTGTCAGTCAATATTACATACATAGTTCGCTAACTTAATTCAATGAAAACCAATTGTAGTTAACACAACTGAAAGGATACAGCTTGATAGAGAGTATGTCTGGTTTTTTAATTTTATCTTGCACACCCATCTCTTCCAGCCAGGAAAAACTTTCATCTTCATCCTCATCACTGATTACTTGTTCCCTAGAAAATTGTTAAGAGTTTCCATTTCATAAAACTGTTCCCTCTACAAAACAACTACACTGAGTCCATAAGTCCTTAGGTGACGTAAAAGGTGATTTTAATCACATACTCTCCCTGTCCTAGGCTTGTTCCGGATGCCTTTTTCTTCCCATGGCCATTTTCTTTTATTAATGGCAGAGAAAATTCAATACCTACATGAGAAAAGAAAAATATAACTGAGTTTTCTTTAGTCTAATCTCAAAGAACTTAACAGGTGTGCCCTACTTTTAGAGAGTATGAAATCTGAAGATTTGAGCTTTACACTTGATCTATTAAGGCAGTAACTTTCAAGCTTTCTTGACGGTAGCCATCACACACACACACGCCCCCTCTTTCAACAATACATACTCTCACTACATGTGGTACTCTTTTCTAAAGTGCTGATTGAGCCTACTAAACAGATTTCACGATCATTAATGACTGACCCAGTTGGAAGACTGTTATTAAAAAGGGGGTAGGTAATTTGTACCATCAAGGAATTTCTACAGGAGTATATTCAGATGGGAACTTCCCAGCTCAGTATGTGTCGGTCATATCAGAGAAGGGAATACCATTAACTTAAAGCTATGCATAAGGGACAGTGTAAATCATTTCTGGAAAAAAAAAATCAGAAATAAAGACGATGTTTCTTATAAAATATAGGTAAAACTGGTTAA